CTGCTGTGCCAGAGGAGGGCACGACACAGGGAGCCCACAGTGGGCAGTGTGTGAGTGCAGGGCTGTGTGTGAGTGCAGGGCTGTGTGTGTGTGTGAGTGCAGGGCTGTGTGTGTGAGTGCAGGGCTGTGTGTGTGAGTGCAGGGCTGTGTGTGTGAGTGCAGGGCTGTGTGTGTGGCTGCTGCCTGTGCACATCGTGGGGCTGGGAGTGCAGGGCTGTGTGATGGTGCTGGTGGTCGGTGATGGTCTGTGACTGTTGCTGTGTCTCCCACCCTCAGTTCGCTGCCTGGGTCGATGCCGTGGTGTTTGTCTTCAGCCTGGAGGACGAGATCAGCTTCCAGACAGTGTACAACTACTACCTGCGGCTGTGCAGCTACCGGAACACGGCAGAGGTGCCCATGGTGCTGGTGGGCACGCAGGGTGAGTGTGGGCAGCTGGGGGTGCCAGGGGCTGTAAGCTGCATTGAAGCAGTTATTAGGAGGCCCTTGGTTTAGGGGCCCTGGAGGAGCTCCATAATTCCTCCTCTGACCCTCCCTGCACAGAGCTGCTCTGTTCTACACCTCGTGCCGCTGCCTTTGGCGCTGCCTTCCCAGCTCCTGCCTGCACTGGCTGAGCGTCGGGGCCGATGCCTGAGGGTTTGGTGCTGATGCCCCGCTGTCTGTGCTGCTGGGGCGAGTTGCAGCAGGAAAGGTTTGAGGGGTGGCACTGAGCCGCCAGCTCCCACGGGCTGAGCGGTGCCGTGCTGGGCGGTGGGGCACTGCCACCCCCGGGTGCTGCCAGCCCAGCGTGGGCGTGGGGAGGAGCAGCAGTGCGTGAGCTGCCCTCCTCCTCCTGCCTGGGCAGGGCTGGGGCCCTGGAGTTGGATTCCGCCTCCCCCAACATGTTGGGGCAGCACGGCTTCCAACAGCTGAACTGCAGCGCCTGGGAAGCAGGGAGGGGAGCAACAAGGGCAGAAGGGGGAGCAGTAAAGGAATCACTGCAGGTGTTCTGCATTCCGTGCTGAGAGTCCTCCTATGTAGAGGCACACGGCATGGGCAGAAGGAACCCTGCACATGTTTTGTAGGTGCAAGGTGACAGCAGAGAGCAAGAGCAGGGGATGGGGCACAAAGGAAGAAAGCCTTGGTTGGACCCAGCTCCTGAGCAGAGCGAGCAGTTTGCCACCAAGAGCTTCTGGAGCTGGAAATGGGCAGTGCCAGCAGGAGGCCTCGATTTATGTGCTCTGTGCCCCGGGCTGAATCCAGGACATTCTGATATTTAAAGATTGTGGAATTGGTTTAGGACTGAGGGATCTTGGTGTGGCACTGGGCTGGGTGGTACAAACAGCCTCTTGTTAGTGCTGTCAGCTGTGAGCACATCCCCATTAACTGAGCATCATTTCTTCCCTTTGGTTCTTTAATCTGTCGAGTGTGGCCCTAAGAGCTGAAATGATGACAGATCCACTCAGCTCTGCCATTGAGGCAGACTTGCAGATGAGTGTGTGGTTGTTCCAGCTGCCATGGCACACATGAGTCACTTCCAGCCCATGTAAACACCATCATCCCCACGCAGATGGGGCTGTGCTCACGCCCAGGGCCGCACCGCTTGCACCTTTGCCCCCAGCTCTGTCTGCTGTCTCTGCACATCCTCCAGTTGCCCTCAGCAGCAGTCCCATCCGTGATGCTGGCTGTTCTTGGAGCCCTGTCCTGTTCCACACACCCGAGCAGCTTTGTGTTCCCAGCTTCACCTCCCACTGCTTGCTGCCCTTCTCAGAAGTGCAGTGTCTGGGTGGTGAGGAGAGTAGAGGAAGGTTCATTTGGAAATGCTAACAAATCCACCAGATGTGGGACTTCGTTACCCGAGGCATTAGTAGGGCAGGATGTGCTGTGCGGGTGAGTGTCAGTGTGAAGGAGCAGGAGGCCAGGAGTGCCCTGGGGCAGTGGGTGTGAAGGACACAGCTGCCTGCTCCTCACCTCTCTCCCTTGCCTTGCAGATGCCATCAGTGCCACCAACCCTCGTGTCATTGATGACTCTCGGGCACGGAAGCTCTCCAATGACCTGAAGCGCTGCACGTACTACGAGACCTGTGCCACCTATGGGCTGAACGTGGAGAGGGTCTTCCAGGATGGTAACTGCAGTGGGTGGAGGTGTTGGGGCCAGGCAGGCAGCAGTGCTGTGGGCTTAGCATATCCTGAGCACAGCTGTCAGCTGGCAGTGCTGCAGTGAGGGCTGTGAGGCACACGGTCACAGTGCAGTTACTCAGTGTGCACAGACCAGGTCTTGAGAGTGGCCAAGAAGCCGGAGGGACCTGGGGTGCGTTGCAAAGAGTGGCAGCTGGGGACAGTGCAAGCAAACCGATGCTGGTGCAGCTCATGATGCTGCATGGGAACGAGGACTGAGGGCGGTCTCAGCACGAGGGGAACTTTTCCAGGGGATCTGGTGGTGTCCCTGGCACACAGAGCGGGGAGCAGCAGTGGGGAGGTGGGAGGGGTCCCTGTCTGCATGCAGGAGGACCGCTGCTGGAGGGACGTGCTGGATTCTGGTGTTGGCGTTTCAAAAGGGTGCGGGGAAGTGAATGTTTGAAAAACATCAAGACACTGTAAAAATGAATCAAAGGTCAGAAGAAGTAGCTGAGACACTGTGAGGAGCTCAACCATTTCACAAATAGATTGAGGAGTAACTTGATTACAATACCTAAATACCTACATGGGGAGAAAGCCACAGATAACGACCAACTGCTGGCTAGCAGAGAACTGATGGGACAAGGAGGATATTAAACTAAAAGAGAGGAGGTTTGGGTCAGATGGTGGAGGGAGATTCTTCACCCAGAGGCAATGAGAGCCTTGCACAGCTGCCCAGAGCCGCTGCCATGCCCCGTTCTGGAGGTACCCAATGCCATGGAGGGACTCTGGGCAGCCCAACCTGGTGTGGGGCTGTGAAGTTCCTCCTTACCATTCTATGGTCCAGTCATCTTTAAGGTCCACAATGGAGAAGGGAAGATCTGCAACCTGAGGTTGCTGCTCTTTTAGCTAAGTTTGCTCACATACCCATACTGTGCAGTGCATGCACTGACCTCTCTCGTGTAATTAGTGATAGAACTGGTGAGGACTAGAGGGAGTGGCTTCAAGCTGCACCAGGGGAGATTTAGGCTGGACGTTAGGAAATAGTACTTCTCTGAAAGAGTGGTCAGGCACTGGAATGGGCTGCCAGGGAGGTGGTGGAGTCACCGAGCCTGGAGGTGTTCACAGAACGTTTGGATGTTGTGTTGAGGGACGTGGTTTAGTGAGGGCTATTGGTGATGGTTGGACTGGATGATCTTGTAGGTCTTTTCCAACCTTGGTGTTTCTGTGATTCTGTGACCTCTCAGTTCCAGGTGCAGGATCAGTTCCAGGTGCATGCTCTGTGCTGCCATGTGCAACATGCAGTGCTGGTCCCTTTGGGCAGCACGCTGATGTTGTGCTGGTCCTGGTGTGACCACTGGTGATGCCTGGCTAAAGGCTGAGGCCACTGCTTCCTCCCCAAGGCTCTGTCTCTGCTGGAGCCCCACGTGCAGTGCTGCTGAGCATGGGGAGGCTGTGGGAAGGTCCCAGCTGCTGCATCAGAGCTTCAGCAGTGGCAGCTGTGGATGCCTGGAGGGGTGGGCAGTGCAGAGTCTCCTCTTCTGACAGAGCTCCCAGCAGGGTGGGAGCAGCACCTGCTGGCTGCTTGGCTTTGGAGGCGTAGGGTTAAGGAGCTTTGTTCTAAATGCAGAAGTGTGGGGCAGACGTGGCACAGGGCTGTGCTGCAGCCTTCGGGTCCTGCCTGGGTTCCCCTCTCCATCACTCACCTCCTGTTCACCCTTCTTGGAGGCCTCACACTGTGCTGAATGGAAAGCCTCTGTTTACTTGGAGCAGGTGGGAATTTGCTGCTGCATCAGCAGTTTCTGCCACTTTCAGCCTCAAGGATTCTCCAGCTCGGTGTTTGTTGTCCCAGGTTGTGCTGGGGGGGTCAGGTTGGGTATTAAGAACAATTTCTAATCCACAGAGCAGCTGGGTGCTGGCACAGCTGCACAGGGAGTTTGGGGTCAGTCACCATCCCGGGGGTGTTCAGGAGCTGTGGAGATGTGGCACTGGGGATGTGGTTGGTGGGCACGGTGGGGGTGGGGTCTCAGAAGTCTTTTCCAACCTTAATGGTTCTGTGTGAGGCATGCTGCTCAGGAGATGTGATGTTCCCAAGGTTCCTCATTGTGACTGTGGGGATGGCCAGCAGTGTGCATGAGGGACAGAAAGGGTGTTGTGCAGCCCTGGCTGATGCTGTGCTCCTTGGGTGGGAGATCGGGAAGGCTGAAATGCAGCTTTGGGCTTTTGGCATCGTGCAGTGAGATTGGAGGAACGAAGAATTTGTGATGTTCATTTCTGGAGCATCTGGAGAGCCGAGGGCCATGTGTGCCCTGGCCAAGGGAGGTGGCACTGCCCGGGCTGCCCAGTTTGTCCCTGGCTCCTGTGGCCACTGCCAGGGGGTTGTGGGCTCCGTGTGGCTGCACAATCAGTGCTCTGCATGGGAGCCAAGAGAGTGGTGGCCTTTGGGTACTCAGTGTGACCATTGCAAAGGAGCTGTACCAAACCTTGCAGCTGTGCAGTGGTGGTGACTTTGATGGGGATGGCCAGTTTGGGTGCTCTGCAGAAATCTCCTCTGTTAGTATGGGATGCTGCAGTTCGAGCCCCAGGTGTTGGTATCAGGCAGGGGGAGGGTTTGGGTCTTGCTCAAGTGCTACAGAGATTTGTTGAGGGGTGAAGCGGCTTTCAGGTCTCTGACCCTGTCCCTTTCTCTGCTCTTTCAGTGGCTCAGAAGGTGGTGGCTCTGAGGAAGAAGCAGCAGCTCTCCATTGGTCCCTGCAAGTCCCTGCCCAACTCACCCAGCCATTCGTCTGTCTCCGCAGCCTCCATCCCTTCTGTTCACATCAACCAGGTGGGAAACGGGAAAAGGGGAAGGCAGGAACCCCACATCTCCTCCCCACCCCTTCTTCACTGCACTGCACAGACCGTTCAGCCTCGCTGTGCACTCACACCTCAGCCCTGAAGTAGCTGTTGGGAGGGCAGAGCAGCTGTCACACTGGAGCATCAGCCGTAGCCCAGAACAGCTCGTTGCTGACGTTGGTGTCTGGCTGCAGTACGAGCCATTGCGTGTGCTGTATGTCTGCAGAGGTTGTGTGGTGCTCCTGGAGCAGCTGCTGCACAGCTGTGAGCGGCGTGCAGGGAGCTCCTGGCAGAACAGGGGTCTGTGATGCAGCCAGGAGTGCACCTGGTCCTGCTGCCCTGGCAGCAGGGGGCTGCTGGCCTGTGTGCAAACAGGTGGGCTCCTTCAGAGCATCTCCGGAGTGCCAGGGGTAGTGCAGAGGAGAAGGGAGCGCTCTGGGAGCTCAGGAGAGCATGGTGCTGTTCCTCAGGCACAGCATCAGCCTGGCAGGAACTGCCATGGTGTCTGTGCTGGGTGATGGAGCTTCTCCCAAGAGGGGCAGGTCAGAGAGCAGAGCAGGCTGGCACAGCGGGGGGGAGGGAGGGGAGGTGCAGGAGGCCCTTGGCAGCCTGCTTGCTGCAGTGGGGCTTTGCTACAATTCCTAATGCACGTGCAAGTGCACATGCTGCTTCTGGTGAAGGTGAGAAATGGCTCTGCTGCTCCTCAGGTGCTCAGGCCAATGGAGCAAGCTCCAAAGCAGCTGTTACTGTAGAATCATAGACTGGCCTGGGTTCCAAAGGCCCATAATAATCATCCAGTTCCAACCCCCTGCTATGTGCAGGTTACCAACCAGCAGACCTGGCTGCCCAAAGCCACATCCAGCCTGGCCTTGAATGCCTGCAGGGATGGGGCATCCACAAATGGATGTTACGTTGAAATCACTGGGCCTGTAGCAAGGACTTCACTAAATCTGTTTGTCTGATCCATTGCTGTCAGACTGGGGAGCAGCAAAGGCTGCAGCTGGGTCCTCTGAGTGCTGGGAGATGACACAGATGGAGCAGTGTGAACCCCTCAGCTGCCTTGTTGGTGAGCAACACGTGGGATGGTTTTTGAGGAGAGTGGCTAAGCACTCAGAGGAGCGTGTGAAACTGAAAAGAGGGTGAGATTGATCTTACATCAGGGATCTTAAATACCCGTATAAGCGTTGTGCCTGACCATAGGTTTTTGATGCTGGACTGTGAGCTGCTCTGTACGGATTTCTGCAGCTCCCTGGTGCTCCAGGTCGGGCTCCTGCCCATTCACATGAGTTCTGTGTGCAGGTGAATATGCTGAGCCCCACTGGCAGCAGAGCTGCTGCTGAGCCACGCAGCCTTCTGAGCAGAGCTTGTGTCCAGCTGCTTGCAGTGGCAGCAGTGAGCACAGCTGCTTGCAAACATACACGGCCATGCCGTGTCCTGCAGTGTGCCTGGTGACCCAGACTGCCTGAGAAGGCTGACAGGAGGCCTTCAGGTTAAATGCAGATGTGAGTGCACCCAGTAATGAGAGGATTGTCTTAGCAAATTGAGGACAGTGAATTGCTGCTGGAGATGGGAGGCAGTCTGTGTGGAAAGGGTGGAGGGCAGCAGAGGCCGTGTTCCCCAGGGAGGAGCTGTTTCGCGCTGTGTTTGATGTCCCAGAGTATGGAAAAAGCACACTAACAAACTAATAAAGGCACTGCTGTGCCTGTCAGCATGTCTCTGTGGTGGACAGAAGCATTCCTACGTGGGGTCCCACTCGTGTGAGCCTGCATTCGGGCTGAGCAGAAGGAGGCCTATGGGAGGGAAGGGACCTTCGTACAGGAGGATGCCAAGCTCTTGGCTTGTTCAGCTTTGAAAAGTGAGGGCCAAAATGGACCAAACCCAACCTCTGAAGTGCACAAATGTGAAAGAAAACCACTTTTTATGAAAAGGAGCTAGCACAGAAGGGGTGGATCTGAGAGTGGCCATGGGAAGGCAAAGTTTGGGCATCAGAGGAGGTTTCTAATGGCGTGGCATGAGCTGTGTTCAAGGTTCTTGCTCAGAAACCTCCTTGCTTTCCTTTCCTCCCTGCAGAGCGCCTTTCAGCCCGGTGTGCAGACGACCTCTGTGTAGAGGTGGATGTTGGCTCCTGGGCCCGGAGGCAGAACCTTTTCTCTCAGTTCCCTGCTGTGCTCCTGTGGCTTTGCCGGAGGGACCTGGGTAGATCTGGTGGCAACCAGAGCCGTTACAGGGAAGTAATGCAGCATGAGCTAACAGGGAATGGCAGCTCGCTGTGAGGCCTTTCTGAACGAGAAGTAGTTCCTGATGTCTGGATTGCAGCAGTGAGAGAGGCCGTGTCCTTCCGGAGCTTCTGCCCTCTGTCTTCCCTCTCCCATCCCTGCTCTGTGCCTGTCCAAAGCTTTGTCTGTCCCTGTACTCGACCAGCCTGGGGGCCACAGTGAGGATCAAGGCTCATTTCTGTTCCCTGGGTCTTCTGTGGCTCCACCACAGCCCCTGGGTTCCCAAGGACCTGCTGCAGCACTCTGTGCCATGGTGCTTGCAGATTTCCATTGCAAGAAGTACTTCTCCCTGAAATAGGAGCTGGTGAGTGATTGCAGAATGCCTTGCATTGTTTTCACATTCTCAGTGGGGCTTGGAGTTCTGGAACTCCTTCCCAGTGTCCCCAGAACAAACCCAGCTGCCTTTGAGAAACCAAACTGTGTTGATTGCAGATGTTCTGTCACTGACCCGGGCAGAGCAGCCCCTGTTGGTGCGTGCAGCACACTGCCTGTGCAGGAGGGAACGTGCCAGGGCTGAGCAGCGAGCAGCTGCTGCGGCACAGCAGTTCCTGCAGAGGGGCGCAGAGAGCCCAGAGCCGCTGCTGTGCAGTGCATGCAGTGCACTGTGCTGGTGGTGCTGCATGGGGGGCACGGTGCCCTGCAGGAGCTGCTGTCCCTGTCTGGTGGAGGAGCTCTGGGAGAGGTGGAGCTCTGCTCCATCAGCACGGGTGGATGAGGGAGTGATGGCAGCACCGCTTTGTCATCTCCCATTTCAGGGTAGAAGCTCTCTCTGGGTTTATGGCCTTTGCTGACCCTTGGGAGCAGATACCAAAGCAGGGACAAGGAGCCCCAGGAATGATTCGGGATTTAGCTTAGAGACAGGATGACAAGAAGCCAGACAGTGAATTCTGAGCTTTGTTTTGTCTTGTCTTTGTTTTGGCTTCGTACTGCAGCCAGGTATGGCCTGCACTGCCCCTCTTTGTGCCTGGGAATGTCCTGCTCGGTGCCCAGTGCTGTGTGGGCAGGGGCAGCTCTGTCTCCTGGACATGGGACCAGCATCCCTACAGAGGGCTGCTTAGGGCAGGCAGGAGCTGAGCACAGCCCGCTGCGTGTGCTGGTCCTGGGACCAGCTGCTCTGGAAGATGCTGAAAGCCAAACTGAGCCTGTAGGAAATGGATGCTGCCTGTACCCAACGGCCCGGCCAGCTGTCACACCAGTCCGTTGCAGTTACTGGTATCAGTGGACCCAGTGTTCTCAGCATTGTGTCAGAGGATCTCTCCACCTGGTGCCACGCGCTGGCTGTTCTCTGCACCCACAGAGTTGTGCCCCTGGGCAGCGGTGCTGCAGGAGGGGTTTGGTGTCCTTGCAGAGGGATGATTCGATTTATGATGCAGTTCCTGAACCAGGCCCTGGTTTCATTTTGCCTTTGGAGCTTTGGAGTTTTTCCTTTAACTCCTCAGAGGTGCGCAGTGCCGCAGGGCGCGCTGCTTCCATCAGGGCAGAGAGGGGCCAGCTGTGCTCAGCATTTCCAGGTACACCTCCTGGAGCACAGTGTGCCCATCAGGGCCATGGCAGCAGCATCTCTCCCCTGCCCTGGCCCCTGAGAAGCTTCTGCACCCGCTGTCAGGCTGCTCAGGTCGCCCTGCAGCCCCAGGGGTGCTGTGTGCTGCTCCTGCCCCTGCAGCGAGGCGAGCAGGTCTGATGGGTTTGGGATCCTGGCTTGGCCTCTGCTCCCACCTGCCCCATCCTGTTCCCTGCCTGCAGGGTGCGGGCGTTCCACGGGCCAGTGGGTGCTTGCAGTGCTCGGAGCTGCTGCACCTGATTCTCACTGCTTCTACATCTGCTGCATCTTTCTGCAGGGGCTGCGAGGTGCCCTCAGGGGTACCCTTAGCTGTGGGATGAGTCACCACTGCTTGGGATGGAGTTTGTCCTTCTGCCAGCAGCAGCCAGGAGAAGGGGCACAGCCCAAGCTCTGCAGCACTCAGACCCTGTGCTTTGTGTCCCTCTGTGCTCTGTGTCCCTGGGTGCTGATGATGGGCCTGGCCCTGCTGCTCACCCTGCTGGGTCAGCACACCCGTCCGTCACAGCCCGGCCGCAGTGCGCGATGCTTTGCTGAGATACAGAAGTGCTTGGGCCGTGGTTAATGAGAGCAGGCAGGAATGAAAACGTGAAGTTTGCAAGTGAAATGAAAGGCAACCTGCAGTTCACCTGTGCTTGGTAGTGAGAGCCTCCCGTGCCTGCTGCAGCATGTCCCAGCAGAGCTTGGCAGTGCATGTTCCAGCAGTGCGAGCTGCAGGCAGTGCACAGCCCTGTGTGAGCAGTGCAGGCAGCAGCTGTGTGTGTCCCTGTGGTGCCAGCATCCCGCCAGGCTCGTGATGCCCTGCACCGTGCTGTCATCATCTGTGCATTCCCATCCCCTGCCCCATTCCGTGCAGATGCTGAGGCAGTGGCTGCTGTTTGTTTGCACTCTTCCACTCAGAGCCCTTCCCAGACCTCGCTCCTTGTTCCTGCCCTTGCTTCCGTGTGACAGTTCCTGCCTGGGAACTTTGAATGATCCCTTTCCTGCTCGAGCACCCATGGTGCTGTCGGTGTCCATTGCAGTTCAGGACATCCACCCATTGCATGCTAATGGGTAAGATCTCTGCATGTGTTTTGCCCAGACTTCAGCTTCTGCCTTGTGTTTACATGTCAGTAGAGACCAGGGGTGCTTGTCTGGGTCGATGGAGCAGCTCCAGGAGCAGGACGTGGGGGGTCCCCTTGTCAGGTTCTCCCACAGCTGAGGTTTGTGTGGGGTCCTGGATCTCTCCTGCAGCCCTGGAGCTCCGTTCCCACAGACCCAATGGTGGTGGCTGCTGCCTCTCGGGGCTGCAGCATCCTGCACTTGGCCCAGCACCAGGCATGCTCGGGGCTGAAGGAGGGTTTTCTGGCTAGGCAAGGAATGAAAGCAATGTTACAGGAGCTTATAAAGTACAGAACACAATTTGGTAAGATTTTTTTTTTGTAAGATTTTTTCCTAGGAGCTTTGTTGTCCATCATCCCACATAAATAGGATCTATCACAGCTGTCTGGGGGTTGGACTCAATGATCTCTGGATGTCCCTTCCAACCGCTACAATTCTGTGATTCTGTGATTCTGTTAGGGCAGGAGCTCAAACTCTGCAGTCCCTTCTGTGTGAAGTCCTTCCCTCAGTCATAGCTTCATGGATGCGTTAACAAGGAGCAGCAGATTCTCTGGGCCCCAGTAGCCCTTTTTGTGTGTGCCTGTTCTTCAGCCCTGCCTTGGCAGAGCCTGTATGTTTGGCATGCTGTACTCCTGGGGAGGTGTTAGCAGACAGGGTTCCCCCTGTCTTGGATTTGGGGTAGCAAAAGCTCTCCTGTCTCCAGGCAGGTGCTCCAAGCTCCTGCTCCAGCACAGGACACGCGTGAGGCAGCAGGGCTCCTGGGCCTCATCTCTTGCTGCAAAAGGCTCTGGGCTCCATCTGCAGGCAGTGGGCACTGTGCTGCCAGCTGGGCTTTCTCCATGTACTGCATGAACATGGCTGGCAGCACCCGCAGCAGGGTGATGGGAAGGCCAGGGCCAGACCTGCAGGGTGCACGTCCTCTTGGCGTGCAGCTCAGCCCAGAAGGGAGCAATGAGGCTGGGCTCCTTGCAGCTCCATGCTAGGAGCCTTGGAGAGTGGATGGCTCAGCTGGTGTCACTGAGTCCTTCCCCTGCTTATCATCGTTGGCTTCAGAATGTTACTGTTCCTCCAGGGGGAAAACAAAAGCAGAGAAAGGCAGCAGCTCCCCATGCCCCCCCCGGTGCCAGATGCAGTGCTTGGGGCGCAGCGTCCCTGTGTGCTGCAGCCCCGTGGGTGGAAGGCACCGCGCAGTGTCCTTGTGCCCGCCAGCCTCGTGCTGAGCATCGCCATCTCATTCTGCCCTAGGCCACCAACGGCGGAGGAGCCTTCAGCGACTACTCCTCCTCGGTGCCCTCCACCCCCAGCATCAGCCAGCGGGAGCTGCGGATCGAGACCATCGCTGCCTCCAACACACCCACCCCCATCCGCAAGCAGTCCAAGCGGCGCTCCAACATCTTCACGGTACGCAGCCCCGGGGCCGGAGGAGCTTTGGGAGCGTTGCGGAGCCGGGAGAGGGGCAGGCAGCCCCTGTCTGTGCCAGGCTGCAGGGAACCTGGCTGTGCTGGCCAGGGAGGGGCAGGGAGAGGGGCGATGCTTCTGCACGAGTAGGAGGCACAACAGAGAGCACTGGTCCTGGTGTGTGCGCAGGTGTGCGTCAGCAAGCCGCTTCTTGCACATCAGGAGTGTGCCCAGGGCATGTTGTGCTGTGTGCAGGGAGCAGAGCTCCCTGCCCATTGCTGGGCAGAGCTGCACCCTGTGTGCACAGCACCGGTGAGCTCTGCTCCTCCTTGGAGCTGTGTCCCCAGAGCGTGGCGCAAAGCCTCCGGTGCCCCCGGCAGTGCCAGCTGTGCTGTGCCAGCACGTGGCTCTGGACCCCTGGCTCTGCTACCCGAGCTTTGCGGCTGTGTGACAGCCGCAGTGCTGTGGGGTCTGCTGGGGGCTGGGGAGAGCAGCAGAGAATGGAGGCGGCAGGGAGCCGGCAGAGCTGCGGGACCTGGGCAGCGCGGGGCCTTGGTGCAGGGATTGGCTGCTGGCTGGCTGAATGCAGCCCGCCTCGAGTGCGCTCGCACCGTGCACGCACTGTGCACGCGGTCCTGCTCACACTTGCCCTGCTGTCAGCAGCCCCTGAGTGTCCCTGTGCTGTCAGTGCAGCGGTGCTCCCGGTCCCCATGCCCAGCTCAGGTCCCTGCGTTCCTCTCCCCTGGTGCCGGGTACGTGTGCCAGGCTCAGGCCCTCCTCCCATCTACATGTGCTTCCCAGCCTCCATTGCTCCGTACTCCGTGTCTGCTGTCTGTGGAACTGCCCGCCACCAACCATTGTCCGTGTTGCACTGTGTTACTGTGTGAACAGCTGCCACTGCTCTGGTCCCCGATCACACCGACTCAGCATTCCACGCCCCATCCCTCTCCTGCACTATTGGCATCCCAGATTCCCAATCCTCATGCTGGGAGCACATCCCCCTCCTCCTGCCGGGATGTCCCGGCAGCTCCCACTCTGGGGTCCCCGGTGCTCTGTGCGCTGCCCACCCGTGCCTCCAGTTCCATGCCCCTTGATCTGTGCACGTTCTCCTGGCCCCCGCAGCACACACGCTGTCTCTCTGTCCCCACCCTGCCCTGCAGCCCAGGGCGGCGGCTCCCCGGCTCCGCACACATGGCTGCGTCCTCACCGCTGTCCCCTCCGTGTGCCCACACCTCCCTGGCGGTGCCCGGAGGTCTCCTGTTGTTGGTGATCACGCTTTTGTTGCCCCTCAGTGCTGATGGACTCCCCGCTCCCGCCGTTCTCGCTCATGCTTGCTGCTGTGCACCGTGCGCCCATGCACTGCCACCCATCCTCTGCTCACCGCGGGTTTGGACTCGCCGTCAGCTCATGCTCACGCTCTCGCTCCTCGGAGCGTGTCGGTGCCACGCTCAGCTCAGAGCCTGAGTGCCACGCTCACTCGGTGCAGACGCGCTCATGGGGAGGCGGAGGGCTCACCGTGGGGTCACGCTTCTTTGCTGTGGATGTCACCACCCTCCTGCAGCTCTTGCTCACTTGCTCATTCTGGGCTCCAGCTTGCTCTCACTGCGCCACTCACCTGTGCTCATCCTGGGCTCACTGCTTGCTCTGTGCTGGCGCACACATGGCTCACATTGAAGTCTTCACCCCGTGTGGTTGTGGCAGCAGCAGCAGCAGCTCCTGACACTCCTCCCGCAGTGGGGCAGGGCAGGCGGGCAGGGATGGCTCTTTCTGCCACTAGTTTCCCTGCGGGCAGCGTAGCGCAGCTGCAGCCGTCCCCGTGCCCCCCATGCCGGGTCCCCCAGCCAGGCACGGTCTCTTTGCGCCCCGCGCTGCTCCGATCCGGCCCGAGCTGTGCCTGGCTCCTGCCTCCTCCTCCTCCTGCTCTCCTCCTGTCCTGTCCTCTCCTCCTCTTTGCTCTGGGCCCTGCCATTGCAGGGGAGGGCTGCGTGGGGGGCCGCTGGCTGGAGGCAGTGCCCGCCCGTCCCCTCTGCCGCCCGCCGCCCGCTCCGGCTGCGCCCACCCGGCATCTCGTGTCCGTGTTCTGAGTATAACTTGCCAAACTCTTTATTCTTTCAATATTTGCAGATATGTGCCACTGTTTCCAACTTTTCATCAACAAAAAGGCCTTTCCAACTCCTTCCAAATTAGAAGATCCAGGTGGTTACACGGCACCTCTGTACCAATTCTCTCACTTTTCATTGCCTCTCCAGGGCCGGATAAGGGATGGGCACTGGGATTGATCTAAGATTAGAGGCTCGCCCGCCCTCCAGCCAGCATGGGTCCCCCCTCGGAGACACGCAGGAGCCTTTTAAATCCCCCCATGTAAAGTCTAGGAGGCGCCGCGACGGCCTGCGCTGCACTTTGCTGGGACATTGCTGGGCCTGCCGGATGCTGGCGGCACCCGTGGGGCTGCCGGGCGACGACCCCATGGGACGGGACGGGACGGGACGACGTGTGGCGCCGGGACGGCGATGGCAGCGAGTGCGGCTGGACGGGCCCAGGGACGCTTCGCTGCTGCTTGGAGCTCTGCGGGCGCCGCCGGCCCCCGGCTCCCTCCTCCCCGCCGCACCTCCTGCATGGACTCCTGCTCCTCTCCTCGCAGCACGGCGGCCATCTGTGGCTCTTTAGTTTCTTCTCTTTCGATCTCTTTGTTCTGCTCTGGGCCCCGGGCCGGCGGCTGGGGGTCCCGGCCGGGGGGCTGCCGTCCCCCTCTGATCCAAAGCACACGGGCGCTCCCGACGGGTGTGGGACGCTGCAGCGGCGCCGCGCTGCCCTCTCATTGTCGTGGTTCTGAATGTATTGGTCGTGCTCCATGCCGTGTATGACGTGGTATTGCCCTCTGTCCTAAGCACTTTGAATGAGTTCCGCTCCACAGACTGTACACTTCATATTGTATTTATTGGGGTTTGCTCTGCCCGGCGGGCGCCGCGCTCGGCCCCGGCCGTGGGATCGGTATTTACTGTCCATGCTCTTTTGTAAGGGCTGGTGTCCGCCCGGTGACCGTGCTACTTTGTATGGTGCAAGTGTGCTCCCGGAATAAACCTGTTGGATTGGTAGAGGTGTGAGTTCCTTTCACCGCTCGGCTCTCCCGCTGCCATCCATGCTCACCGCATCCCACGCATCTGTCTGTGCCGTGTCCGTGTGCCGGGGGCAGGCGGCCCCGTCTGTAGGACAGTGCTGCGGGGCCGAGGGGCCGGGGGGGCCGGGAGCACGGGGCTCTGTCCTGCGCGGGGCGGCGGGGCCGCGTCCCTCCCATCCCACCCTAACGACCTCCATCTCTTCTCTTCCAGTCTCGGAAGGGCGCGGACGCGGAGCGGGACAAGAAGGTGCCGGAGTGCAAAGCAGACAGCATCGGCAGCGGGAGGGCCATCCCCATGAAGCAGGTGCGATCCTCCCCGCGCCAATCCCTCCTGTCCCCCCCTCTGCATCCCCCTGCACTCAGCCTCAGTGCTGCGCTCAGTGCTGGATCCTCAGAGCCAGAAACACACTGAGGCTCTGGAGCGTGTCCGGAGAGGGGCTGTGGGGTCGGCAGCGCCGTGCTGTGGGAGCGGTTGGGGATTGGGATGGGTCGGTCCGGAGCAGAGGAGGCTCAGGGAGACCTCGCTGCTCTGTAAATCCTGAGAGGATGGAGTGTGGTTGGGTCGGCCTCTGCTCCAGCTAACGGCAGTAGGGCGAGGGGGGGTGGTCTCATGTTGTGCCTGGGATTGGGTCAGGTTGAGTAATGGGAACAATTTCGTGCCCAAAGAGCAGCTGGGTACCGGCACGCCTTCATTGGGGTGTCCAGAGCCATGGAGACGTGGCACTTTGGGACGTGGTCAGTGTGCACAGTGTGGGTTGAGCTTGGGGATCTCAGGGGTCTTCTCCAGCCTTAGTGCCTCTGTGATGCCATGAGGGCAGCTCCCGGGAAGGGGCCTTGGGTGCAGACAGGGCGCAAGGATTCCTGTCAGGAAACTGAGCACGGGGACAGGGCTGCAGCAGGAGCGGTTCCAGCAGAGGGCATCTGTGCCCCACACCTGCCACAGCCCTGCACGGCCCTGCACTGTGCTCTGGCTCCGTGCATCCTCTGCCCTAAGCAGCACCAAGGGCTCTGAGGACTGGGAGCAGCAAGAAGTTGCTGATGACACCAGGCTGTGGGGTGCAGTCAGAGCATCAGAGGGACGGGATGCCATCCAGACAGACCTGTAGAAACTTGATCAGCTGGCCCAGGTGAACCTCATGAGGTTCAACAAATGCAAATACAAAATCTTGCACCTGGGTTGAGGCAGCCCTCGCTACCAATACAAGCTGGGGATGAAGGGATTGAGCACAGCCCTGCTGAAAAAGACCTGGGGGTACTGGTGGATGGGAAGCTGGACATGAGCAGCAATGCATCCTCAGCCCCAAAAGCCAACTGTATCCTGGGCTGCATCAAAGGAAGCGTGGCCAGCAGGTCCAGGGAGGTGATCCTGCCCCTCTGCTCTGCACTGTGAGGCCTCAGCTGGAGCACTGCGTCCAGATGTGGAGTCCTCAGTACGGGAGAGACATGGACACAAAAAGGTCCACCCCAGGATCCAGCTGTGGTGTCCTTGTGCATTGCAGAGGGGTTGGAGTAGATGGCCTTTAAAGGTCCCTTCCAACTCTAAGGATTCTGTGATTATATGAAGTGGCCGCACCGTGCTGTGCCGTGCTGTGCCGTGCTGTGCCGTGCTGTGCCATGTGCTGTTTGGCCCAAGGGGAACTCGAGGCACTGGGAGCTGACCCAAAGCATTGGGTATCTGTGTGCATGTCAGCCTGACAGCAGCAGTGCTGGGGTGAGAGAGCAAGTGGTCTTTGGGTGATGTTGGCAGCAGGGTTTTCTTGCACTGATGCATGCACACCCTTGCAGCCCCTGGCTGTGCCCATGATGAGCTGTGTGCATGGGGAAGGCATGCATCCATGGGGGAACCTGCTGGGTATGGGACCCTCAGGGGATCAGAGGATTGGTTTTAAGTTAAATAGAAGAGATTTGAGTGAGATTCAAGGAGGAAATTCTTTACCCAGGCTCTCTCACTGCTGCCCAGAGCTGTGGGTGCCCCATTCCTGCAGTGCTGAAGGCCATGGATGGGGCTGTGGGAGGTGTTGCTAAGGCTTGGGGGAGGCTTTGGGGTCTCTTCCAACCCAAACCATGCTGGGATTCCCCAACCCAGCACTGTCAGTGTGCTGCTGCAGAAGTTCCCCAGATGGCTGCACTGCAGTGAAGCACTGTGTGGTGGCACTGCTCTGGGTTTGCCCAGGGCAGCTCAGTGCTGGAGATGGCAGCAGTGCAGGGGCAGAGCCATGTCTGGGGGCAGTGGGGGCAGAGCCGTGGGGATGCCGTACTTGCAGCATGGCACAGTTTGCACAGCTCCCGCACAGGCATGTCAGTGTCAGCTATGTGCAGGTCACAGCCCTCCTCTTGGGAGGTGCAGATCCTGTTCTTATTCTCCTGGCTGCAGTGGTGGTCACGGTGCTCGTTAACATTTCTTCCACTGCTTCCTTGGCTGGGGGCCTCTCAGAGCAGGGTGCTTCCCCTGCCTGCTCCCATATCTGCGTGTTGCTGGGCAGTGCTCAGGCTGCTGGAGCAGCAGTGCTTCAGAGCAGTTGTGGGGTTGCTGGGGAGCAGTGCTCTCCCAGCCAGGTGGTCTCAGGGCACAGGGCTCCATTGGGCTCCCTTCATGGGCTCCATTGTGCTGCAGCACTGTACTGGAGCTGCCAGCCCTGGGGCAGAGCAGAGTGCTGCAGGGAACAGCCCCGCTCCTGAGATGGTGTGCCAGTCAGAATTGCAGCTCTCCTGCTTGCCTGAACCACACGGTCCTTCCACAGCAACTCAGGAGGGTGCAGAGCTTTGTTCCTGATGGAGAACACAGGCCAGCAACCTGCACCCTGTGGAATGAGGGTGGGGTGACTGTGCAGGGATATTGGGGTGCTGCAGGTCTCTGCTGTACTGCCAGCCCCCACCAGGCAGCCCTCCATGAAGGTACCACCAATGGGACGGGAGAGGGGCTCCCAAAGCACTGCTCTGTGTGGCAGAGCCTGGGGACAGACGGCGATGGCTGCGCTCTGATCAGGAGCTGTGCTGTGGGTGGGTGCCCTGTGGGCTGCTTCCCAATAGCTGGGGCCTTGCCACTGTGAGTGCAGCTCTGCAGGGAGGGCTCAGCACTGCAGCTGCGGTGCTGGAGCTGTGAGCAGCCGTGCTGTGCTCTCGGGGCTTTGGTTTGCACACAGATCCTGGGCCAGTGGCTGGAGGGCTGCAGGGCGAGAGGCCCAGGCGGGTGCGTGGGGTGGGTGGAGGCTTTTCTGGACAGCGGAGGGCTCCAGGAGCATGTGCTGCAGTGCCTGTCCCCACTGTGCAGCAGAACTGAGCGCACCCCAGCTGAGCTGCTCCATCTCCTGCCCCTCTCACCCCCACACAGCACAGAGCAGCACAGCGGGACGGAGGCCGTGCGCTCTGAGCTCCCCCTCTGCTGCAGTCGCTGCTCCTGTGCTCAGCTGATGCTGTGCCTGGAGCTTCACGAGGTCCTGGAGGACTGAAAGTGCTTCCTTGCGGCTGAACGCCCGTCTCAGAGAAGTGGGTTAATGAGGGACGGTGCTCCCCCAGCTGTGTGTTACCAGGGGTTCCTAATTGTGCACACATTGTTTCTGGGAGCACTGCAGCCCGGCGGTCCCGGTCCGGCCCGGCTCCGTTTGGGCCGCGCTGCAGCAGTGCCCAGGGCAGCAGCTCCTCCTCCTCGGGAGCTGGGATCATGCTGGGAGCTTAGATTACATTTAAATTGCCATTTGCATTTTCCAATCAATACGCGACTTTACAATTAAGTTTGGTGTTAAAATTCTTAGCAAAAAAGTGAGCGGAAGGGAGATTTGTGGAGCAAACGAGTCCTTTGGGGGCCATGGCTGCTCCCTGCTTCATTACACTGCATATTGCTACTGCTGCTTTTACGGAGCACCGCCACCATCCGAACCCAGCAGAGGCAGCACCGCACCGGCCGGCGGCGTGCGGGGAAGGGAGCAAGCGTGGGGATGGGAGCGGGTGGGCTCCCAGGTTCCTTTGCCCTGTGCACAGCCCTGTGCTCGGGGAGGAACTTTGCAGGAGTGAGCCCGATGGTGAGGAGCAGCACAGCCAGGGGGTGCACGAGGAGGGGATGCAGAGGGGATGCGCCTGCCTGCAGCCCCGCCATGGGCTGTGTGCCCCTGTGGCTCCCTGCCTCTCTTGGAGCACTGGAACAGGTTGCCCAAGGAGGCTGTGGATGCCCCATCCCTGCAGGCATTCAAGGCCAGGCTGGATGTGGCTCTGGGCAGCCTGGGCTGCTGGTTGGCGACCTGCACACAGCAGGGGGTTGGAACTGGGTGACCACTGTGGGCCTTTGCAACCCAGGCCATTCTATGAGTCTGTGATTCTGTTGTGCATGGAGGGTTTCCTCCAGGAAAAAGCAGAGTTCCCCACGTGCTGCTGGGCCAAATCTCCACAATCTGCCATCACAAAGAAGTGGACTGCAGGCAGTGCAGCAGTGCCACCAGGACCTGCAGGGCTCCCAGCTGCTGTCCCTGCCTCTGATACAGCAGCAAAGGGCAGGCACAGCCAAGCACTGCCCCTGCATTCAGCTGCTTCCTGCAGTGTCTGTCCTGAAGGACCCCTTTGCCCTCATTTTATCAGGTGCTTACTCCCAGGTTTGGATTCTTGTGCCTTCTGGCTGGGTAAACTGGGCTGCCTGTGCTTGGTTCTCTGTGCTCTGGGTCTGTTTTGGCTTCTGTGTGTGAGGTTTCAGGTTTGCAGCTGAAGCGGCTGCAGAAAGCTCTGTGCTGCTCGGGGCTCAGCAGGGGCTGCAGTGGGGGGGCTCCATGGGTGTTGCACTGAGCTTGGGCTGTGGGCACCAGCAGAGCAGGGGGCACTGGGGGGCAGGGATGGCAGCACTGTGACAGGGCAGGTGGTTGGACCGGGTCCATGTATGGCCCGTGGGGGTCGTGGTGCCCATGGGGGTCGTGGTGCCCATGAGCCAGAGGCTCACCCAGTGACTGTGCCAAATGTATAACTTCTGTCAGCTCTAGAGCAGGTTTGCTTGAGAGAGAGCAAATAAATGCTCCCAAAAGAGGATCCACCATTTATCCAGGTTGGCTGTAAGACTGAGCCATCTTCACGTGTGAGGTTTTGTAAGGGAGAGGGCTGTCGTTGTCAGAGTGCGTTGTGCAGTGCAGCAGCGATGGGTTTGGGGTGAGGGTGGGGGGAGGTGGAGCCCTGGAGGTGCTCCTGGTGGGCTGCTGGGGTGCTCCCAGAACACAGACAGCACGGAGGGAACGCGTGGGCTGGAGGGAGCCGTGGCTGAACCACAGACATCACAGCATTTCAGCTCAGTGCGGGTCCTGTTACCTTCACGTTCTCTGTTCGTGCTTTCCTTGGGCTCATTAAGTAAAGAGCATGAGTCAAGTGCAGATGGGTCAGACCTCTGTACACATACTTACTCTGGATGCACATTTGCCGTTTATCATCACTGGTTCCCATCAGTGATTTTGCTTTGAGAGCTTCCACCTGGCTGGTTTATATCTGTTAACAGCTGTGTGGATCTCACACACTTGGATGGCCCAATAGCTGATCTTACTGTTCTTTTCTGACCTCTGTGATTTCAGTGTTATGTATTGCTCAGTCAGTATCCCAAAACAGTGTCTGTTGTCACTGGGTGCTGTGACCATACCATGCAGTGTCACACAGCCCTGCATTTCCATGGGGCAGTCCCAGCATCCCCATCTGCAGGCAGTGCTCCACACTGTGCACAGAGCTGCTCTGTGTGGTCTGTGGGGAGGTGCTGGCATGGGGCCTGGAGCAGCGCCTTGCTGTCTGCCCAGAGATCCCTGGCTGAGCCCGGCCCCGCAGCCCGGGTCCTGCTTGTTCCCAAGCCCCATCACTCATCCATCCCTTTGTCCCCGTGCTGCCCCTGTGCTGTCCCATGCTCCCTGCTGGCAGAGCGCTCGGTGTCCTCCCCCCAGGCTCTGCTGCAGTGCCTTCATGCCCTCCTTGTTGCTGCCTCCCATCCTGCCTGGTGCAGATTTCATGGGTCTGAACCGGGCAGGGTGAAGGTGAGGAGGGTGCAGCCTTCAAAGTTGGTTTAATCCATGAAAGTTTGTTCTGGGCCGGAGTGGTGGGGAGGAGGAGCATGGCCATTCCCAGGCCCTGTGAGTGTGCAGTGCCTGGAGACCACGGGACGGGTTTGGGGGAGCACCAGTGGGAAGGGGTGCACCAGCACCTTGGCTGCTCTGTCTCCCAGAATGTGTCCCTGGCTCCATCTGTTAGACACCTCTAGGGAGGAGCTGCCGGCACCGAGGGAGCATCCGTCCCTTGTGTGACTGTCTCAGAGTGTGGTCACCGCCTCTCCTGAGTGGTCCTTGTCCATCCCCCCATCTGGGGCTGGAGGAAGGTGTGGAGCAGAGCAAGGAATGCAGTCAGTGGTGAGGTTGGGCCCTGCCTTGCATTCACACCTTCCTTCAGCACAGCAGGAGGGGTGGTGTGGGACAGGGCACGTGGGCGTCCTCGCTCTGAGGACAGGTCTGGCTGGGGAGCGATGGGGAGGGCAGGAGAGCAGCCCGCTGTGTGCCAGTCACAGAGAGGCACTGCTGGGAAGGCCCTGGGTGTCCTCGCGGGTCCCTGTGTGTCTCCTGGGGTGGCTGTGGGGCCGGCTGGGCGCTGCCCGGACCGAACGAGGCCTGAGGCTCTTGTCATTTCTCTTACAGGGCATTCTGCTGAAGCGCAGCGGCAAGTCGCTCAACAAGGAGTGGAAGAAGAAGTACGTGACGCTGTGTGACAACGGTGTGCTCACCTACCACCCCAGCCTGCACGTGAGTACCGTGGCATGTGGCAGGGCTCGGCGGTCCCCTTTTGCTCCTGCAGGTGCCATGGCCACAGAGAGCTGCTGGCAAAGGGTTTGGCGTTGGTGGGGGCTGCAGGCCCGGAGCGTGGGGTCATTCAGCAGAGCTGGATCTTAGCAAGGCCTGGAGGAAACCATATCCCCGCCCTGATGGCTGTGTCTGCAGTGCCAGACTGGCTGGGAAGAGCTGATGGGAACATAACTCCGCGCAGAAGGATGCTCAGTAACTGCATCTGTCTGTTCCCCGTTGCCCTTCGTCAGTCCATGAAAGCAGGGGCTGCTGCCTCCCTGCATCCCGGGTGAGGAGCGGGCAGAGGCTCCTCGCAGCCACGTCTGGTGCTGCCATTTGGGCGTGGAGCAATTTTCTGGCTGCTAGGTGTTGGGTAATGGGGACGCAGTGCCTGCGCGGAGCCCGCCGTGCGCCAGCACTCCATGCATCTCTGATCTCCTCGCTGCTCGGCTCAGGCACGCAGCTGCTGCCCCATCCATCTCTGTCGCCTCCCCACTGTGGGGCTAATGACTTCTTCCCCGTTCCCTCTTGAGCACAGTTTGCTGCTGGAGCAGTGAGCAGAGGACACGCACACCTGTGACACCCGCTGCAGCCGGGCTGTGTTGGCTGAGCTCGGGGTGCAGCCCCCACCCCCACACGCTGCAGGCCCCGCTCCGTCCCCATTTCCTCAGCTGTAGTGTTTGAGTGCTCCGAGCCCCGCGGGCGGCTGTGCCTCTGATTCTTGGGTTGCTCTGCTGCGTCCCCACATCCTGAGCCCCATCCTTACAGAAGGAGCCAGTCCTCGCGTTTGCTTTCCGTAATTCAGGGGAGTGCTGGAACAGTTGATTTTCCTGTGTAGCCTTGGAGCTGTGTGGTGTTCTGTGTGATTCTGCAGCCCTCTAACTTTGCAGCCCCATTTTTTGGTCTTTATTGACCCAAAGCGGGAGGCAGTGGCTGCTCTGCGTGCTCACATGCGTGCGTGGGTTTATCAGCTTTCCATTGGAGGCGTCATAGGGCCGCTGTTAAAATCAGGCAGAGGCAGAGTAATTGGGGATGTTGTTTAACTGCTCTCAGCTGATGCTGCTGCACACTGGGTTTGTCTCCTCTTTACTCCATTCGTTCCTCAGGGGGTGATCTCGTTTGATGTCAGTTGCTTTCCTTACTTCACTTCTTTGGTGTTTCATTTCATTTCTCTGCTGCCTCGAGCAAAAATCTGGTTTGCTTCCACCTGGTGCAACTGGTGATGCACAGCCCATAGCTGAGAGGTGCGGGTGGGCGTCTCCTCCCACAGATCTCATGGAAAGCTTTCAGCCTTGCACCAGGGTAGCGGTGCCCCCTGTTTCCCTGCAGCAGAGACTGGTTATGTGTGGGGCACAGGAGCCTTTCCTCGCCTTCCCTGCATGAGGGTTGGGTACAGGGACAGCCTTACAGATTGGTGCTTCCAATGGGGCCCCATTAAGTCCTGTCCTCCCATCTTCTGTGGTGAACCAGGGGGTGCTTCCTGCCCTCTGGCAGCACAAAGCGGGCACCTGTGTTACAGTCATTGGTGATGGGAGAGCCTTCTGGGGGTCATCGATTCCAACCCCTTGCTAAAGCAGGTTCCCTGCAGGATGTTGCATCCTTCACAGGATGTGAAGCAGAGCTCATGGGTCAGTGACAAAACTGGGCCAGCTGCTTTGTCCCCTCTCTTATAGGAATGCAGGCGGTAGGGTGAGCGCAGAGCCCAACCTCCCCCAGGGTCCTCAGCCCCAGAGCATCTCTGGGCAGCCTGGTCTGGTGGTTGGTGACTCTGCACATAGCAGGGGGGTTGAAACTAGATGAGCACTGCGGTCCTTCTCAACCCATATAGTTCTATGATTCTATGACCTCTTTGCTGCTTTGCGTTCCCAGTGACATTCCTGGGGTTATCCAGGTGTTCCCTGCCTGGGATCTGTTCTCTCTGTCCTTCTTCTGCCTGTCCCTGCCCAGCAGGGATGGGGGTGGTGCCCCCGCCGGGTCTGTGCCCCATCACTTGGCTGGGTCGTGCTTCTCATTTCACCACCAAAGGTGCCCTGTCAGGGCTGTGCACCTTGTACCTATTTCAGACATTGTGTCTGGGCCCCTCCAGCCCCTCCTTGGCATTGCCTCTCCGCAGTCAGACACGGGCTGTGCTTTGCAGAGGGGCTGCTGGCACACAGATGAGCAGCAGCAGCTCCAAGCCCAGGCGCTCGGATGGTGCAGCGGCACGGAGCTGTGCAGGTAGCAGAGCCCTGGCCTCAGCACAGATCTCCTCCCTGCGCCTGCATTTCTCCCACCTTCCCACGAGTGGCTCAGTGGCAGGGAAGCGGTGAGCAGTGTGAGCTGCGCTGCGGTCCCAGCACCTCCCCAGGCCGTGTGTGCTGCTCCCACTGGCAGGGCTGAGCCGTGGCCGCGCTGCGCGGAGCCGAGCGGAGCAGCTCCCATTTTGCAGCCAGTGGAGCCATTCACACAATCACCTTCTGTTAATTCTATCTGCAACATCAATTAAATTGTTTGTAGAAACTAATTGAATGTGGCTTAATCACACATCTTAATAGCTTTCCACGCTTTGAACTCGTTGTTAATTCCAGTAATAAAATGAAATGAGAGAACTGGCTGGGTAATTAGCGAGGAGGCTTGGGAAGAAATTGCTGTTTTATGGCGTGCAATAAAAGCGGAGCGCCGGTGACCGCTGGCTCCGGCAGGCAGCCGGCGAGCGCCGATTGTGCTGAGCCAGGGAAATCCTGCGGCCCAGGGCTGCGCCGGGCCCCCCTGGCTGGGAGCGGTGCGGGGCAGCGCTGGGCTGGTGGGTCTGAGGGAGCCGCCCAGGGCTGTGTGCCCATCCCCACGGCCGTGTGGGTCGGGGTGCCGGGAGCTGCGGCCAGGCGGGCGCTGCCCCGCGCCATGGGTTGGGAGCGGCTGCGCCTTGCTGGCTGCGCTCATCTCGCCAAGCTCTGGAGCAGCAGTTCATGCAGCACCGGCTCAGATCCAACCCCTCGGTGACCTCCTTGTGAACTGGAGCGAGCACAGAGCTCCGCAGCTCGCCCCACACGGCTGCTGCCTCTTATCTGCCCGTCGTGGAGAAGAGTGCTGGGGCTGCCCCACAGGCCTGGACGACCCAGAGCCGGGACGGGGCTGGCACCCCTGGGCTCTGCGGGGACCACAGGCTCAGTGCTTTCCTTTTGTGTGGGCCCAGGGAAGCACAGCTGGGTGCAGCACTGCAGGATAGGACAGGCGTGGTGGCTCCTGGCACAGCTGCAGCCGCGCTCTGGCTGAAGGTGGGCACTGCTGGGAGGGCGGAGTGATGCTCGTGGTCTGCGTGCAGTCTGGAGCTGTGCAGTGCTGTGCCAGCAGTGGGGGAAGAGCCGAGTGTGGAGTGACTCAAAGCCACAGATGGGCAATGCAGAGGGGTGCTGTGCTGAGCTGAGCCACTCTGGGCTTGAGTCACACCAGTGGGGACCTGAGCTGGAGTTCTCACATCACATTACCCACACCAAGTTATGTTGCATTGTCATCTGCTGCACCTGAACGCTGTGACCAAAAGGACAGCGGATGCAGGAGCTGGGATCTGCCTGCTGCCTGCATGCCCCTCTGCCCCATCTGTCCCCCCTCAGGCAGGACTGTACAAACAGATCCTCACAGCACACCAACTCCACCTGCTCTTGCTGTGCAGCGCTGGGAGCAGGACCCAGCACTCTTAGGTCCCAGCCCAGGGGTCAGAGCAGCATCCAGGCCCTCCATCCACTTCCCAGGCTGCCTGCAGGCTGTGGGCACCAGCACTGGGGTGGCTGTGGGCTGAGCCCTGAGCTCAGCTCGGTGCCCCCGTGTGGGATGGACACCAGTCAGCCCCGGGGCTGCTGTCAGCCACAGGCGCGGGGGGATCCGACGTTGGTTGGATGGAGGAATGAGAGAGGGGCTGAGAGTGACGGGCCGGGTCATGGCTGATCTGTACCATCTCTGCCGCAGGACTACATGCAGAACGTGCACGGGAAGGAGATCGACCTGCTGAGAACCACAGTGAAGGTGCCTGGCAAGCGGCTGCCCAGGGCTACGGCGGCAGCGCCCGGCGCGAGCCCCAAAGCCAACGGGCTGGCAAAGGAGCGGAGCAGCACACAGCTGGCAGCCAGCACGGGTAGGTGGTGGTGCTGTGCCCATCCCGCTGCACGGCTTTGGCTCTGCCTGCAGTAACATCCTTGTAGGTAAGCATAGGAGGAGTGGGAGAGCCAAGCGGATGGTGAGGTGCACTGGGAGCTGCTGGCAGCGGTGTGGTTGGAGGTCTGTGGCCAGCAGTGTTCCCCAGGGGTCGGTGTTGGGTACGGTGTTGTTCAACATCACTAGTGACCTGGATGAAGGGATGGAGTCCATCCTCAGCAAGTTTGGTGATGGCACAAAGCTGGGAGGGGCGGCTGACACACCTGAAGGCCGTGCTGCCGTTCAGTGAGACCTGGACAGGCTGAGAGCAATCTTATGGGGTTCAGCAAGGACAGTGCAAGATCCTACACCTGGGAGGAATAACCACAGCATTAGTACAGGGTGGGGCTGAGCTGCTGGAAAGGAGCTCTGCAGAGAAGGACCTGGAGATCCTGGTTGACCAGCATTTGACCAGTGGTTGATGGCAGGCTGATTATGAGCCAGCAGCGTGTCCTCACCTCGTGCCTTCCCTCTAGGGACCCTTAGGGGGGCTGGACCAGAAGGTCTCTGGAGGTCTCTTCCAGCCCCCAGGGCTCTGTGCCTGCAGGGTGCTGTTGGGGTGGTGGGAGCTGTGCTGCCCTTCCTGCAGCACGTGGGCAGCACCTGGCTCTGCTGAGCAGCAGCGGGAGCTGCTCCTGGCTTTCGTGCTCTGAATGCCTTTGGTTTGTGCTGGTGTCTCTGGGTAACCCCCAGGTGGCTGCAGCTGGGCTCTAAGTATGGCATGAGTTGCATGAGCTGCTGTGTATGGAGGCAGCTGCTGCAACATAAAGTGGTGGAAAACTCTGCCAGCGATGTTTCTTGATCATGGAAAACTCTGTTCTGTTCCTGCCCGCTTCTGTGGCTCCTTTTCCTTCTTATTTTTTCCTGCAGCCATAGGATCCCAGGGGGCTGCCCTGGGATTACTGTCACTGTGCAGCAGCCACCACACGTGGGGCTGGGAGGGTCCAGGGGGGCTCAGTGCCAGCTCTTGTGGTCCGCAGCACCCAGGACAGGCGCTGCTGTGGAGCAGTGAGCCCTCCTCACCCACTGCAGGTTGTGCAGAGCCATGCTCGCTCTGCAGGCTGGGTATGGCTGCAGTGATTTTTGACCAAGGATGCGTACCTGGAGGTTCTGCCTGTAGTCTGCCTCTGCTCTCTGCTGTTTGCTGCTACTTCTTCACCACCACTGCCATGCACCCTCAGCATGCAGGAGCACGGTGGCAGCTCTGCCCCTGCACAGCACTGCTCAGACGTGTTTGCAGGGTGCTCGGTGTGATGTCTGCACCCACACAGTTACCACAGCTGTGAGGAGGGTTCGGGCAAAGCACAGAACGGCTCCCGTGATGAATCCTGCACCATGTACCCCATGTTCTGCTCCCAGCAGCCGTCCTGCCCTCCTGGCCTCACAGCTGGGATGTGGTTGGGGCGGGGGTCGGGATGTGGGTTGAGCTGTGGGTTGTTCCTGGTCACTGCTGCCTGGAGCCCGGCGTGGGGCCTCAGCCTCACCTGCAGCATGAGGAGAGCAGCACAGGGCTGTGGTTGGAGATGCAGCTCCCTGGCAGGGAGCGTGATTCAGTGCTGACGTCGTGTGTCAGGAGGGTGGTGGGTTTAGTGCTGCTTGGAGCCTTGAACACCAGATCAGATATCTTCCTACAAGAGATGCTTTGATCCATTTGTGTGTGCTGCTGTGTGCGTGCCGGGCTGACGCTGCGTGGGTGCTGGGGCTGTGCTGGCAGCAGATCAGTGAATGTGGGATCCCCATTCACACATTGCCTTCGCTCTGCACCCCTGCATAGCACACCCCCTGACTCTGTGTCCCTATAGCACCGTGTCCCCATAGCACTGTGTCCCCATAGCACCATGTCCCCATAGCACCGTGTCTCTATAGCACTGTGTCCCCCCAGCGCCGTGTCCCCATAGTGCTGTACCCCAGCAGCACTGTCCCCCCGCAGCACACAGCACTGAGGATGGGGCAGCAGCCTCAGGTGTGCGTTGGCTCTGCGCAGCCATGTGGTGCTGCACACAAACAGCACAGCAGTGGGGCACTCAGTGGGGCTCTGCTCAGCTCTGGTGCAGCCGATGGCTGGGTGAAAACTCCGCTGTGGTAACAGCTCCTCCCCGGGCACCGCGTCCCTCCTGTCCCTCTCTGGGCAGTGCAGCCCTCAGCAGTGCTGTGCCCGTGGCCATCTCCAGGGCTGTGCTCTGCAGATGGGGGTCTGCTCTCCCCCAGCAGCGTGTGGGTGCAGCACAGAGCGTGGGGAGGTCAGAGCTGCTCCCTGCGGCCACTGAGAGCTGTGCCACTGTCCTCATGGGGACAAGAGGAGCGGTGGGGAGAGGGGAGGAAGGGGAACAAAGATGGAGAGCTCTCAGCGTGCCCAGAGGTGTGCGGGCAGCACACAGGGCTGCTGGGGCTCCGGCTGAGCTCCGGAGTGGGGCAGACTCAGCACAGAGCTGAGTGAAGGGGTGGAGAGCTGCCGGTATGGGAACTGCACGGCTGGGCTCAGGGATGGCCGTGCCCAATAACGCACTGCTCACATCACACATTCCCTGCACAAACACTGCTTCAGAGGCACAGTGTCACGCTGCAGCTGTTGGTGTTGGGATCTTCTGCCCTGTCTGCCTCTGCTTTATGTTTCGTTGCAGAGGTGCAGAAGCGTGAAGTCACAGAATCACAGAACATCCCGGGTTGGAAGGGACCCGCAGGGATCGTTGGTTCCCACTCAGTGCTGAAGCAGCTCATCTCTGGGGTTGTAACTCCTCTGACACGTGGTGCAGAGCTTGGCTCCCAGCCACAACTCTGTCCTCAGTTAAAAATGGTTTTGTATCGTTGCTGTTTTGTTCACCTCCTTGTGCCCCAGGTGTCCATCAGAGTGTGATCAGAGCTGTTGTAAGCTTCTCGTTGAGAACTGGATCCCCCCAGGCTGTGCTGGCAGGGAGCCTCTGCTTTGCTCTGCTGGTTTACCCTTCACTGTGCAATGCAGTGCCCTCCTGGCTTCAGTTCCTCCATGCAGTTGTATCGGTGGGGGCCAACCAGAGGCACTGCAGTAGCTGAGAGCTGAGTGCAGTCCCACAGCTGGCTGAGTGGGCTGAGCCAGTGCTGGGACACAGAGCTGGGCAGCAATGCAGCTCTGCATCTGGGTGCTGGGCAGGGCAGGACAGGGTGCTGCGGGATGGTGTGGGGTACTGCAGGGTGCTGCAGAGCAGTGCCGTGTCCTGGGAGATCCACAGGTGCATGGGGGAGGAGGGAGAGCTTCCTTCCCACACATCCAGGGCAGGATCTCTCATCCCTGAGATGGGAATGTGTTGGGACTGATGTGCGTGAGGGCCAGCAGCCCATGGTGTCAGTGGTGAGCAGATACAGACAGTCCGTGGTTGTTAGCATTCATGAAATGTTTTCCTTAATATAACAAACAGTCCAAGAAGTGTTTTGAGTCTCAAAGGTGCCATTTCTTCAGTGTGCTGCTGATGCCGCATGGATACAGAGCAGGTCTCTGAGTGGGGCTGGGGGTCTGCACTGGGGCTGCATGTTTGTGGTGGGGTCAGGTGTCTGCCGTGGGTCCGGTGTCTGCACTGGGGCCAGGTGTGTGCAGGGGGTGTTGGTGGTCAGCTCCCTTTGGGGCTGCAGCTGCTAGAGATGGACTGGGGCTCATACAGGGTGTGCTGAGGCAGCGTTATGTAGGAATGATCACTCTTTGTGATGATTCCTTCTGGATGTGGAGGGAGAAATCAGATGTTTCAGTGTCACAGGGAAAAGACAAGTGGGTGCTGCTCCTCAGAGGTTCAGGAGGTTCTCAGCAGTGCCTGCCCGGTGGGAAGCAGGGCTGTGCTGCGGGGCTGGAGCTGTGCTGCCCAGGGCAGTGTGGGGATGCAGAGTGCAGAGCCCAGCAGGGCTCCTGCAGTCAGGGACAAGCAGTGCTCACAGGGCTGCTTGCGTGGTGCAAACCCGGCAGCATCCGGGCTGGGGGCACCAGCAGGACGGGCACTTCTCACCTGGGAATGCATTCTGGATATAAAGGGCTGCGTGTGTGGGGTTTGGTGATGTATCCCTCGTGGTGCGGCAGCGCAGGTTTGGTGTCTCCTCCTCCAGGATCACAGCTGCGCTCTCACTGTGGGTCAGCAGCTCCCCCCTTCTGCTTTGGTGCCCCATCGGTGCGTGTTTCGGAAGGACGAAGGCAGCTCTCACTCAGATGGGATGGAAAGGATCCCAGGGTCATGTTCCATCACCTTGAGCCCGGTCTGAGCACAGCTGCAGCCCTGCGTTGTTGCTTTGCAGAGGGGCCCTTCTCCCAGCACAGGGAGGTGCACAATGGCCGCTGCTGGAGGACGTGGGCTGTGCTGTGTGCATCCCTGCACGCTTAACGTGGGCACATGCAGAGCCCGTGAGCCTGCTCCGTGCTGCACGGCGCGGCTGGACGCAGGGCCTCAGGTGAGCGGCCAGGAGAGACGGGGCAGGATGGAGGCAGCTCCTCACCTCCTCCTCCTCGTGATTGCTCCCGGAGCCGGGGAGGCGCTGTGACCCTCTGCTCGTGGAGGTGCTGCTCAGGGTGCGCGTTGGCGCAGGGTCCTCCCTCGCTCCCAGGAGCCAGGAGCCCACGGCACGGCCCGTCCCTGCTGAGCCCCCGCCCGGCCGCGCTGCCCCCAGCGCAGTGGGATGGGCTCCCCCAGGCCGGGTGCTGCGCCTGCTGTGCTCATGTCACGTCGGGCTCCGTCGATGTTAACATCTCATTATCTTTGTTACTGTAATTACATTATCCGCTGCTTTATGCAGAATTATTCTCCGAGGACTAATTGATGGATCCATGTTTAATTCATTAATCATTAGCATCAAATTCGACAATTACAGTGCACACTGATTGTGGAATTTCAAATGTAATGAGGGAAGAATTAACAAAGAAAAGGGAAAACCTGTTTCCCGGCACAGCGCTGCTCGCCGTGGGGGACGCTGACATTGAGGGAGAGCAGC